GGGGGGGGGGGGGGGGGGGGCCGAAGTCTAGCAGCCTTGTGCTTCGAGCAGGGCCATGAAGAAGCCCATGACCTCCGTGCCAACCCGCCGGACCGCTTTCTGCACAAAGACTTGGAACCAGTCCTTGACGCAAGGTAAGTTTGGACAGCTGAATCTATGCAAAGACATCCTCCATAGATGCATGCAAGGGAGGCGCGCGGCCAAACATTCAAGGACAGCGATGCTCGGGCCCCTGCCAACGTCAAGCCCGCGGTGATTCGCAGACCCTGGCCAGGCATATCACCTGAGATTGCAGGACACATCCAGGATAGTTGCCCATGCATTGCCTAGTCGAGCCAGGCCACACTGCAGCTGTATGGTGTCATCGAAGATCGACTCGAATATTCGTTCTCGGACGGCAATCATGTTGGTATGTGGTTTGTGCTAATTTCAGACATCAGCACCAAGCCACACTCACTGCATCCAACAACTGCATTACATGCAAGCATGCGCATTTTCCACCTAATCCCCTTCAGTGCAGCAAGCCCTGCAGGCTTTCTGCAGCCTTGGTGCTAAAGCGTCGAAACTTCTTGCGATGGGCAGGCAAAGCTTCCTTGGCATCATCCATAAAGTGGCCCAGGTCGGGATTCCGGATGAACACCTGGGTCACAGCGACAAGGTAGAAAAGCGACTTTGAAGGTATGACGGGGTATCGCTCAGCAAATGGTGCCGTCCCATTCATGCGAGAGTCATACTGACCCTTCGAATAGCCGGTAGCATAAAGCCTGAACACCTCGGATGTGGAGATGCATGGCGTGTCTGTGTGTCCATTGAGTCTATTGCCTATACAGCCCCGCACCTGGCTCTCTCAGGCTTCTCAGGCACAGACGCGCTTCACGAGTGATTGAATGTCGCCGGCGGTCTTCTCCTCCTGCCCAAATGGAACTCTGCCAGGGCCATGCTGCCCAAGTTCCGCTCTGCGAGTTCTTCGGATCTGACACGCTTCCGCTATGGCTGTAGGGTGTGGAATGCGTGCTCTCTTCTAATATGGTAGGAGACTCAAACCTTCCGCCTCTGCACTTGATCCGGGAATCTCTGTCACGAAAACCGAAACGCTTTTGGAACCTGCGTCGCTATTTGAACTCCACTCTAATCAGCCGAGGAAAAGACAGGACAAGCCCGACTCCCGACGATACTCCAGAAGGTTACGACGAACGGAGCCTCGTTTTTTGGATGGTACGAAAGCGCATCGCGCGAATTCCGGTATGAGAGCGCATCGTGCGGGGTCCACCGGAATGGCCGAAACTAGGCTGGCCGGCGCCGAGGCGGCCTTCAGCACCCCCCGGCACACCGCCCGCCAGCGAGCGACGAGCCATGGGCTCTCGGTAACCAAAATTTCAATCGACGGGTGTGTGGATGGGGTCTGAAAATCGTGGGGTGACGCAAAGCCAGCAGTAGCTACGGCAGGTGAACCGATCGACGGACGTATCCCTGCACTACACAGAAAGTCCTCGAACTAGGTCACGTGCGCACCTGGACCCTGGTGGTTCCGTGGCACATGACTGTGCGAATTTCCCCGGCAAACACCAAATTTCTTGAAACAACAGGGTTTTTGCAGAAGCGCTTTGTCGTCTACTCTTTTCAGACAAGCTGGTAGTCTTTACTGTTGATGAATGGTCGTAATGCATCTTTGCATAAAGAAAGAGCGTCTTGTTCCAGACGCATCCAACATCCTGTCGAAGTATGTTATGCAAACAGGCAAGAATGCTGTAAATACCACTTTGTTGTTTGCTGTTGCTGCTTTTTTGCTGTTGTGCTCAGCAGCT